GATTTTTTCAGCTTCATTCTTGTCTCTTAAAGTTAAGTGAAGAAATAGTATTAAGAGATTTCGCACACAGAAAAGAGAACCCATCGTGCTGGTCAGGTAAGTTGTAAATGAGGGGATGGCATTCGTCTGCAAGTGAACTTAGGCCTGGCAGACGATAATGATGGTGATGATCTGTGAGGCTGGATTCTTTCGTAAAGCGCGAAACAAAGCTTTTCAAGGTGCATTAAAAAGTATCGATGAAGCACGTACAGTCGGACAAGAGGCCATGCCAAAATAGAAATAGACCATTGCCATAAAGGTGATCGAAAATACTTTGAACTTATCACCACTGTCTTGTTTACTTTTTCATGACCAAGCCGCGGTAACGCTTGTTGACCGTCATTCACAAACGATTCCTCAGAATGTTTTATGCTTCAGTCAATTTAGTAGCCATTTTCCAGTGTGTATTTGTTGTATTATTGGATATGCGGTAAATGCCGACGGCCAGGGCGAATCAGTGTTTGAAAATTGGAGAAGGAGGCGTATTTTTCAATGATGGCGTACCGGTAATTTTCCACTGATTTTCTCTCAAAGAACACTGTATGAAAACGACAATTCCATTCGGACTAATGTTTTTACAGTGACAAAACAGTGCAAGGAGGCTACCGTAGATAGAACTATGCATTATCCACCAACGTTGTTTATTTAAAACCACCTTTTCTTAGCTTGCGCTTATACCCATGATCATATAATCTGATGTGAAATCATGTTCATCGTGCTTCCCACTGCCATAGATTAATTCAGACCTCTTTAAAGATAAGCTCGTTATCATGGTGCTCTCATTGTTCTGCCTCACCTAAGAATCAGATATTATAAGCCGCAATCCGCGACATACAAAAGTAGGAAAGCAGAGAGTTCAATCAGACATTCGGTGGATTGCCACCTTACGCTGGCTGAATATGAAAGAGGAGTAGAAACGTGAGCGTGGAACGTTTCTACTGGAACGAGTGGAAACGTGAGAGACAGGAGCAATCGGCTTTTAGTCAACGCGCACGCTGCGATCCCCATTAGAAGCCATTGGCATGTACATTGAGCACTATCGGGCAAGAAAGGGTTGCTACATTATACTCGCTGGGTGTAACCTCCTTAGTTTTAAAAAGGTTTAGCGAACGTTGAGCCGCAGGGCCATGAATACAATGAACTAGTATATACCATGAATGAATTCGAGGTGGTTAAAAGGGGGAAGCAGATACGAAGCGCAAGCCATAAGAAATTAAAAGCTGAATCCTCCTGTGTCTCATTTCGCATTAGCAGCCACTGGCATGTACATTGAGCACTATCTGACAGGAAAAGGTTGCTACGTTATACTCGCTGGGCGTAAGCTCCTTGGTTTTAGAAAGGTCTAGCGAGCATTGGGCCGCAGTGCCATGAATACAGTGAACCAGTATATACCATGAACTCAAGGTAGTTGAAGGTGGGAAGTTGACCCGATGCGCAAGCCGTAAGAAAGTGTGCGTGTGCCCCCTCTCGTTTAGTCCTTGGAATGTCCACTGAATGGCGGTGCTTCTATATGGGGAATATGTGATAAAAATATGTGAGATGGTGGGACTTGGAGCGTTGAATAGATGGGCGAACGGATACACAGACAGATGCATGGATGGACGCATGAACGGACGCAGGATGGATGCATGAACGAACGCAGGGACGGGGGCGCACGAACAGACGCATAGACGGTCACACAGACGGACGCATGGACGGACGAATGCTTCGCCCCACTCTCCATCATTCACTATCCGTAGATATGCTGCCATGTTTTTTTTACTAGCAGACGTTGCCTGCATCGGCCTGGTGAGGCGAGAAAACGGAGAGGGGAGCAAAAGTTTTGCGGGAGTCTTCCTGGGCCGGCACAAAACGCGAAAATCCGGCACGAGACGCGAGCCATGTGCAGTGGGGGGGGGGGGGGGGTGTACGGAGGGACCACGTTACATAGGCGAGTTAAAGAGCTGGTTCTCATTTAAATGCACAAAAGCAGTTCAACAGCTTTGTGAGCTGACAAGTGATAGGGAAGATGCTAGATGACTTCTGCACGGAAAACGACTGATAGTCCAATCGTTGCAACACATCTGAATGTCTTCGTCTTTAAGAGGAATATCGAAACTTAGAAGACAACACCAAGCCCATGCTGTCAGAGAATTGTAACATGTGTAGACGGCTTTTCAGCAACGCGGCGCCACCAGAAAAGAAATCCAAAATAAACAAACGTAACATTTGTATTTTTTGGCTCATATCGTATTAAAATCTAAAAAAATAAACATTATTCACATTCAGTGGTCTGGAGAAGTGTCGGCTTGTGTGCAGACGACCATTCTGACAAGATCCGGTGTATCTGAGCGATTCGCTGAGCGGCAATCTTGTATGGACAGCAAAGTAGCTTGCATTGTATTTGTCTTACGATGTGGTCTTCTCGGAGGTGTCAACTTTGCCGGCTACGTGAAAATTGGAATAAGACTTAAAATGGCCGCCGCCTATTTAGCTGTCTATTTAGCCGTCTATGGTGAGTATTGTAACGCACCCAAAGAAGCGAAACTTTAAGTCCATGAAGCGAGGTCGGAAGTCGGATTTCCAGCATAGAATTTTTTAGTGTAGTTTCTTATGTCTTATACTTGACCAGCTTCATTCCACCCGACTTGCTAGATATGTACCATGATGAAAAAGCTCGCATACAGCATCTGTCCTTGAAAAAGGGAGGGGAATGGTTTGTATTTTTTAAGAGATCTACTAGCCTCGTTTTCCGTGAAACGTTCCACTCTTTCCAAGATGACCCAATATCCAGTAAAATTGAACTAGTGGTCTTTTTTTTTCTTGACACGATGCCGATACTTCAAAATGTAAGCTGTAAGTGGCATTCGCATTAGAGAGCATACTACATGCACTGTAACGCTGTTGCAAGTTGGTAAACACATCTAAGTTTTTTAGGCCCGTCAGAGGTGATGTATTTTAAGGTATAGTGCAGAGCGTTAAGTTCTCCCTCCGCCGACTTAGTGAGGTTATACATCTTGAGTAATAGTGTAAAAAAAAGGTTAATAGTGAGAACTATAGCACATATTTAAATACGGCTCACACCTTAAGGTAGTGGCCCACTTCGGCGGCAAACACTCTGCATTTTACGCAGTGTTTGGGGACGCAAACAATGCATAAAATTATTTACGTAAAATTATTTGTCGAATGCGTAAAATTATTTGTCGAGTGCAGCGAGCACCGCTGCCCTCGACAAATAATTTTGAAGTTGGAAAATTCAGAGCGCTTCTGATCCCCTGTTTCCACAGACACATGGGGTTGATGCTTGGCTGACGCGCTATTTTCTAGAAGCAATGAAAATATTGTGAGCTGCAAAGAGCATTTTAGTTGCACAAGTCTCCGTTGTACTTCGAGTACAGCAAAACTATGCAGCAGAACAGTGCGAAATTTACTGTGCTTTTAGATCACGTGCAAACAAAAATTCTACAAAAATGCTGTGTATAAACAAATGAGTAATTTATATGCACTCCAATAAATATGTGCAAAATTATGAAAGTTGGGGATGAAAGTGTGAAAAAAATGACTGCCCGTAAGTTCCCTACAACACGACAGAAATAGCGCTAAGAACGAGGACACAAGAAGAGGACACACAGCACAGGCGCTAACTTCCAACATAATGTTTATTACCACCGCACGCTCGCCTATATCACAAAAAAATATCACATGACATGAAAGATGCGCACAAAAATTAATTTCTTAGAAAATACAATTCTTTATCACTAAGCGTAAGAGAGGGAGTGCTGACACACTTAGACCCCAGTGAAGCGATAGCCTCAGCCTCAATAATCTCTCTAGTAAGCTTATCAAACATTCTCTTGATAACTGTGCATGCATTGAATATCGGCGCGCAGCCGCAGGAGTTACAATGTATGGCCAACCAACTCCCTTGGCCGTTTTTCACATTATTGCAATGTTCTCTTAATCGATCATTAAGGCAACCGCCCGTCTGTCCAATATACTCTTTACCACAAGAAAGCGGGATACGATAAACAACGCATATGATGCAGGGAACATAAACAGTTCGATGCTTCTTACTACACCCTTTGGGTTTTCCGTCACGGTTATGAAGGCCACAAAGGCTGACCAACTTCTTGGGAGCCGAAAAGACAACCCTAACTTCAGAGCGCTTAGCTAATTTCTTTAGGTTGTGCGATATCTTGTGAAAGTATGGTATGACGACTAGGTGCTTCGGTTTCTCGGCATCACGACTCGCTGTACATCCTGGGTTGCGAAGCGTACGAAGCAAGCCTTCTGCAACTGAAGTTTGGACGTGCATTGGATAACCTGATTTCAACAAACGGTCTGACTGATTATGAAAACTATTGGCGATTTCGTGCTCACAAGACTTGCTTAAAGCATGACGAAAACATTGACTGATGATGCCTCTTTTTTCACTAGTTTAGAGTGAGCTGATTGGTAAGGAAGGACCGGTTTGTTCGTACGTGGTTGGTACGCCCAACATATGCGGTTAGGATGAAAGGTGAAGAGGACATCGAGGAATTTTATGGCATTGCTCTCAGGCAGTTCGTGTGTGAAAGTCAAGGGTTTAAAACACTCAGAAAAATGTGAAATTATTTTTGCCAAACCTGCCTCGTCCGCTACCGTGTCATTAGTTAATAAAACAAGATAGTCATCGACATACCGGAACACTTTTTTTATCTTCAAATTATCAATATGTAGGTAAATCGATCTGTCAATTCTACTTAAAAATATGTCGCTTAAAATGGGCGCAATGCAAGACCCGATACAGATTCCGTCATTATGAATAAAAGGCTTGTCATTCCATGAAATGTAGGTCGTCTTGAGATAAAATGATAAAAGTTCTAAAAACCGACTTACAGGAACACCACACTCGGTTTGAAATCTAACAGGGCCAAACAAATCTATGCACTCTTCAACCGCAGGAAGCAACTGATCATGGGGAATAGAATAATACAAATCAGTCACGTCGACTGAAAAACCATAAACATGCTCATCAACACAAGTTTTCACATAATCTATGACTTGATCAGAACTTTTTACAATGAAAGGATCATCAACGTCAAGCCGGTTCAACTGTTCTTGCCAAAAAGTAGCAATGGATTTTTGCTAAGTATTACATTCTGAAACAATTACCCTAAAAGGCATATTGCTCTTGTGAGTCTTTGCATTAAAAAACACTTTTAAAAAGTCACGCTTACTATTTGTGATGCCACCGACAACTCGAGAGAGGTCAAGGTCTTTGCATAGCTTTTTTGCTTTCGATTTAACTTTTTCAATACGGACGTCCTCGCGAGAGGAGAAAACAGAGCTTACGGCAGTGTGAGCCTTAGAACCAAACAGTCCCAGAGTCAGGATAGCGAAGCCTCCTTCCTTATCAGCTGGAAGGACGGTAAGAGAGTGTTCCTTGAGAAAAGCCTCAACTCTCCTGAGAGGAATTTTGGATCCAGCTGGTCTGTAGCGCGAAACGGTGTCGACGCCTTCTGAGACGGAGCGTGGTTGCTCTTGTTCGGGCACATGGCGCGAAACTTGTCGCACGATGGCTAGAAGTTCCGGTGGAGACGTCTTAGGTTCCACCGCGAACTTGGGCCCGACGCTTAAAGTCCGGAGGATGTCGGGAGGCACGGTGATCTGTTCAGGCACGTGAACTGTCGGCTTTAGGTCGGTTACTTTTTTGGCGACGCCTGTGCGTAGCACCGGCAATTGTCGAGCCCAGAGGAATTCGGTGCTTTGGTCGGCGAGGCGCTGAAATTGTCGAAGCTGCTGCACGGCCACAGTATCTTCGAGACGATCAAAAAGAAGGGTGGACAGGTATTGTTTATGTAGACGTGCTTGTCTATACCATTCTGCCTTCAAGATTTTGCACACCCTAAGCCCATGACCAACTGATTGATTGATTGATATGTGGGGTTTAACGTCCCAAAACCACTCTATGATTATGAGAGACGCCGTAGTGGAGGGCTCCGGAAATTTAGACCACCTGGGGTTCTTTAACGTGCACCCAAATCTGAGCACACGGGCCTACAACATTTCCGCCTCCATCGGAAATGCAGCCGCCGCAGCCGGGATTCGAACCCGCGCCCTGCGGGTCAGCAGCCGAGTGCCTTAGCCACTAGACCACCGCGGCGGGGCACCCCATGACCAACTGAGGGGGCAACGTTGCCGAAAAGGCGCTTGACTTCCTGAGGCAATATTCTGTGGCGAATGCAAAAAGCAACGGATCGAGCTTGACAGGATGCAAGAGCAATGTAGGCGACTGTGGCACATGGGTTTGAAGATGAACATAAAGAAGGGCCCGTTGTACGAGAAATAAAGTTCAACACTGTCGAAATTTGGGCTTGTTGGTGCATTGTAACGACTGAAAATAGCGCTAAGAAACGAGGACACAAGAAGAGGACACACAGCACAGGCGCTAACTTCCAACATAATGTTTATTACCACCGCACGCTCGCCTATAACACCAAAAAAATATCACATGACATGAAAGATGCGCACAAAAAATTAATTTCTTAGAAAATACAATTCTTCATCACTAAGCGTAAGAGAGGGAGTGCTTACGCACTGAGACCTCAGTGAAGCGATAGCCTCAACCTCAATAATCTCTCTAGTAAGCTTATCAAACATTCTCTTGATAACTGTGCATGCATTGAATGTCGGCGCGCAGCCGCAGGATTTACAATGTATGGCCAACCAACTCCCCTGGCACTGGGGTCGAAGTGCCATTTTATGTCAAGACGAGCTACATTTCATGGAATGACAAGCCTTTTATTCAAAATGACAGAATCTGTATCGGGTCTTGCATTGCGCCCATTTTAAGCGACATATTTTTAAGTAGAATTGATAGATCGATTTACCTACATATTGATAATTTGAAGATAAAAAGAGTGTTCCGGTATGTCGATGACTATCTTGTTTTATTAACTAATGACACGGTAGCGGACGAGGCAGGTTTGGCAAAAATAATTTCACATTTTTCTGAGTGTTTTAAACCCTTGACTCTCACACACGAACTGCCTGAGAGCAATGCCATAAAATACTCGATGTCCTCTTCACCTTTCATCCTAACCGCATATGTTGGGCGTACCAACCACGTACGAACAAACCGGTCCTTCCTTACCAATCAGCTCACTCTAAACTAGTGAAAAGAGGCATCATCAGTCATTGTTTTCGTCATGCTTTAAGCAAATCTTGTGAGCACGAAATCGCCAATAGTTTTCATAATCAGTCAGACCGTTTGTTGAAAGCAGGTTATCTAATGCACGTCCAAACTTCAGTTGCAGAAGGCTTGCTTCGTACGCTTCGCAACCCAGGATGTACAGCGAGTCGTGATGCCGAGAAACCGAAGCACCTAGTCGTCATACCATACTTTCACAAGATATCGCACAACCTAAAGAAATTAGCTAAGCGCTCTGAAGTTAGGGTTGTCTTTTCGGCTCCCAAGAAGTTGGTCAGCCTTTGTAGCCTTCATAACCGTGACGGAAAACCCAAAGGGTGTAGTAAGAAGCATCGAACTGTTTATGTTCCCTGCATCATATGCGTTGTTTATCGTATCCCGCTTTCTTGTGGTAAAGAGTATATTGGACAGACGGGCCGTTGCCTTAATGATCGATTAAGAGAACATTGTAATAATGTGAAAAACGGCCAGGGGAGTTGGTTCGCCATACATTGTAAATCCTGCGGCTGCGCGCCGATATTCAATGCATGCACAGTTATCGAGAGAATGTTTGATAAGCTTACTAGAGAGATTATTGAGGCTGAGGCTATCGCTTCACTGGGGTCTAAGTGCGTCAGCACTCCCTCTCTTACGCTTAGTGATAAAGAATTGTATTTTCTAAGAAATTATTTTTTGTGCACATCTTTCATGTCATGTGATATTTGTTTGGTGATATAGGCGAGCGTGCGGTGGTAATAAACATTATGTTGGAAGTTAGCGCCTGTGCTGTGTGTCCTCTTCTTGTGTCCTCGTTTGTTAGCGCTATTTTCAGTCGTCACAATGCACCAACAAGCCCAAATTTCGACAGTGTTCCCTACAACACTCACAGAACAGTGTTCGTGCTTAGTGCCTTTTACGAAATTTCTGCGCCAAAGAATAGCCCCAAAAATTCATATCACAATAGTTTTGTTGACCTATAGGTTGGATGAACACTAACAGTTTAACGTTTTCAAATATGAAATAGGCAGTGGTTAAACTATCTTGGCAGAGATAAGCTCAAAGTGACATACCTTCATAAAGTGCTCATCTAGCGCGTTCTGCAACCTTTTGAATCAACTTTTTTTTGTAAATGTTTTTGCGTAGAAAGTCGAATGGACTGTTGATGCGAAAGGCTGTACTGTCTTGCCATAAGGCATGGCTCATTAGTCGCCAAATGTATTCATTGATTGCCATCAACATCCCGCTCTCTTTTATCCATTGCTTCAAGGCAGAAAATCATCATCATCATCATCTTGACAACGCCTACTGCAAGAGAAAGGCCTCTCGCGTGCATTTTCTGCCAGTCAACTCGATCCTGTGCTTGCTGCAGTCACTTGAGACCCACAAACTTCATATGTTCATCTGCCCACCTAACTTTCTCCCTTTCCCTCACCCGCTTGCCTTCTCTGGAACTCCAGTAACTTACCCTTAATGACCAGCGATTATCTTGCCTCCACGGTACGTTCTCGGCCAAAGGCGGAAGGACCCTTGGATTGTCTCGCTCTTGAATATGCTCTCTAATACATCAACTTCCGGTTACCCGTGTGCTCTTCGCTGCCAAGCAACGCATTTCGCCATACGGGATGGCCTGCTATACCGTCACAACTGTCGAGTGGCAGGTCTTAAATGGCTGCTAGTCGTACCCAGCCATATGGGGTCTCATAACTGCGAATATTTTCATGCTGAATCGCAACATACACACGTCGGTGCGCTAAAGACAAATGAGCGGATCCGCCAACGTTACTATTGGCGGGGTATGTACACGTTGTTGCGAAGCGCCTCCGAGATCCTACCGCTGACCTCCACTGTTGCGACGCGCGCCTCCGACGACGTTACGAAGGGCGCCTCGAAATCTCACCGCTGCAACCACTGTTGCGAAAGTCGGCGACGCCAACACGGTCCCGAAGGCGCCACTGCTTCCAACTCCACCGGGAAGGTCACCAGCCGTTTGGTAGCGTATGTTTCTCAGCTCGCGACTGCTTCTGCGCAGAGCTGATAAGACGAGCGGACGAGACGACGGTGAGTTAAACAAGGTTTATGTACAGCATATATACAGAGGCGTTACAAATTCGGCACTGGGGCCGACAGAGACTCGAAGAGCCGAGCTCTCCTCTCTAACACATAGGTCTGCTCTCAAACGGGTCCGTTCCGACACACATGTCAGCTTTCACCTAGGACCGCCCTTTTCACCTAGGACCGCCGACTCACACACATGTCGGCTCTCCGACACGGGGACTCCTCTCACATAGGACCGCCGACTCACACACATGTCGGCTTTCCGACACGGGGACTCCTCTCACATAGGACCGCCAACTCACACACATGTCGGCTCTCCGACACGGGGACTCCTCTCACATAGGACCGCCGATCGCGACGCGCCGCAGGGCTTCTTTTATAGGCACCGGGTCCAACCAAAATGTCCAATCAGAAGCGCCGCTGGTCGTCAGGGCAGACTCCTCCAATGGGTCGCCGCTGGGCCACGTCAGACCCCCAGACATGAAGACACCCGTTGTTTACGCGACGGGGCTCGCTGTCACGTGCGCTGCTGACTCACTGCACGTGGGTGCCAGAAAGGCGCCGCACGTGTTTACGCCGTTGAGTTGTTCGTGTCAGGCGGACTGCGGGCTGGCCTTGACCCAGATTGCCTTTTTCAGAGGCAAGGACGACGTTTGCTGAGGACTCGCTGGCATAACAGCACCCCCCGCCGCCAGAGAATGCGCCGAAAAGACGAGCTGCTTCCACGGGGCTCGGATGACAGGCGCGCTCGTTCGCCAGGTCCCTCCAGGTTCGCCTCCAGGACCATGGGGAGAATGCAGCTTCAGACTGTTCCGGGAGCACATCCCATTCTTGACGACGGATCCCAGCTCCACTGGCTTGTCGCCACAACTTGCTGGCCAACTTCGCTCGTCTCTTCTGACCATCTTCGGTTTCAGCACTTGTCGATGGTTCTCCAACTTGCTAAGAACGGTTCGACAACAGACAACACACGACACAAGCAAGTGCCCTCGGTTACCCGACAGAACACCAGACAAAATATAGTACAACATATACCTATCTACGTGTCTATCGGAATTTAGTTCCCTCTACATCAAGAGGCACATGTGGGACACAAGACTCTTAAAATGACAACTCAATTTTTTTTCCCACGTACAACATCGTAAAGAATTAGAATACAACATAAGGTTGGCTCCTTGAGCCCACTCTGGACGAGAGCGCTCAGCCCAGGTCGTGATGAGGTCAAAATTTTGCCCCGTAATGCCAGCGAGAAACTGAAAGGTTGAGAAGGTACAAGCTAGAACGCACTGCTCAATGCACCTGCATTAGCGTTTATCTTTCCTTTTTTTTGATAGCGAACGTCAAAGTTGCGCTGTGGAGCAACATGCTCCATCTCAGTAACCGGCCACTTTTAGGCGACGATACCTATGCGGCACCAAGAGCGGCTCACACTTTCGACGTTGCACAGGGGAACAACAATACGGCTTGCTACGGATTGACTCCTCACCGCTTAGCTCGATATCGTGTTCGATCACCCTCGTGTTTCCGGGGCGGTCCGAAAACACGTCTCCAAACTCGGAACCAATCTTTCTC